CGTCGTCGTCGTGTTGCTACGACCCATTCCCGAACCCGACCTTGGGGGTGGCCTAACCTGGCGCAGCCCCGATTGGCAACAGACCCGACACGTCCCGTCCAAACTGAACGCCAGGTTCGCACTCGCCCAGCACGAAGGGACGGCAGCTGCGGTCGCCAGTTGTCTCGCGCCGAGTCCGTACGTTTTACTACGGTGACGGGCTGAGTTTTGCCTCTTGAAGGCCCTCTTGGGGCCCCCTTCGGCCATCTTGAAGCCATCGCGGGCCCTCTTGGGCCTCGCTGAGGCTGTCCTGGGGCCCTCTAGGGCGTTCTCGGAACCCGGAAGTCATGTTCCCGCAGAGGCTTCCGGGAACATGATTTCGAACGGGGCCCTCTTGGGCCTCCCTGAGGCCGTCTGGTTGGGCCTCCTGGGCCGGCTTCGGGTCCTCTTGGGCCGTCTCGAGGGGTTCGGTGAGCCCCACAGGCCGACCCTTTTGGGCCGTTTTGGGGCATCTTGGGGCCTCTTTGGGGTCTCTGATGGGGGCATTTTTAAGCCTCTTGGGGCCTCTTGGGGGCCTCTTGGGGGCCTATTGGGGCGGAAATCTCCATTGTCGGTTCGTGTTCCCCCTGTTTGGCACCTCTTGGGGCCGTTTTGAAGCCCTCTTGGGCCGTCTTGGGCGCCTCTTGGACCGTTTGGGCGCCCTCTTGGGCTGTCTTGGGGGCCTCTCGGGTGCCTTTTGGGCCGTCTTGGGGCGATGTTCGAAGCTTCCTCGGCAATCTTGGAAGGTCAGAAGCCCGAAAACGCGGGCAATCAAAAAACATTGGAAAACACCATGAAAATCTATGATTTTAGCCTCTTGGGGCTCTCTTGGAAAGCCTCTCGGAGCGCCCCTGGGGCTTCTTGGGGGCCCCTTGGGCCTTGATGGGGCTATCTTGAAAGTCTTGGAGCGCTCTTGGGCCGTCTTGGCGGCTTCTTGCCGTCCCCGGAAGCCGTGGTGGACGCCTCCGGGGGCGCAAAAGAGCCTCCGGACGCCCGGGGGCAAAAAGGGTTACGGGGGGGGGGAATTCGGGAGGGTGTCCCGGTCCGGGGCCCTGGCCCCCGGTACCCCGGTAAGCCGTGCACATGGTGGACGCCTCCGGGGGCGCAAAAGAGCCTCTGGACGCCTGGGGGCAAAGTGGGTTACGGCGGGGGGGGGGAGAATGCGGGAGGGTGTCCCGGCCTGGGGCCCTGGCCCCCGGTACCCCGGTATATGATATATATATTATATATATATATATATATATATATATATATATATAAATATATATATTATATATAAATATTATATATATATATATATATATATATATATATATATATATATATATATATCATATCATATACATCATATACCGGGCCGATCTGGGGCTTCTCGGGCCCGATTTGGGGCTTCTCGGGGCCTCCTTTGGGCCTCCTGGGGGTCTCCTGGGGCCTCTTGAGGGGCCTTCTGGCGGCCTTCTGGCGGCCTCTTGGGGCGGAAGGCTCGAGCTTGCGGTTCGTGGTCCCCCTCTGGGCCCCCTCTTGGGCAAGAGAGAGAGAGAGAGAGAGAGAGAGAAGCAGAGAGAGGAAATGGAGAGGAGGCGAGCTTGAGTCAACGAAAGTCGCAGGGAAGGGGGCAGGGGGAAGAAGGCCAGAGAGCGCTGAAGGATACAAATACTGGAACCCTCTCGGGATTTTTTGGGGGGCCTCGTCCGGCCGCTCGCTGGGAGTTTGACGTAGCTTCTCGGGAGCCTCTGAACCTGTCGGGGGCCTCCTGGAAGCAGGTTCGAAGCATTTTGAGGGCCGATTTGGGGCTTCTCGGGGCCTCCTTTGGGCCTCTTGAGGGTCTCCTGGGGCCTCTTGAGGGGCCTCCTTGGGACCTCCTGGCGGCCTCTTGGGGCGGAAGGCTCGAGCCTGCGGTTCGTGGTCCCCCTCTGGGCCCCCTCTTGGGTCCGTCTTGGGGCCATCTTGGGCGCCTCTTGGGCCGTCTTGGGGCCCTCTTGGGCTGTCCTGGGGCCCTCTTGGAAGCTTCTTGGGCCCTCTTGGGGCGGTCTTGGGCGCCTCTTGGGCCGTCCTGTCACGTCGGAAAGCCAAAAAGGCAACTTCGTGAAAAACGTAGGTTTTACGAAAGGAATAAGCCAATTTTTGCGTCTATGGGCCCTCTTGGGACGCATGTTGGAGGCTTCTTGGGGCGTCTTGGGGGCGTCCTTGGACGTCTGGAGGCCATCTTCAGCATCTTGGAGCCCTCTTGGAGGCCTCTTGGAGGCCTCTTGGAGGCCTCTTGGAAGTTTCTTGGGCCGTCTTGGGCGCTTATTGGGCCGTCTTGTCTGACGGGGGAGGCCTCCGGCAAGCCCCGACGAGCCTCCGGGGCCCCCGGAACCCACATTTGTGGTCGGGGCGCCGGCCCCGGGCCCCCGGACCCGGTCCCCCGTTATATGTATAAGTATGTAACAGTATGCGTGTGTGAGTGTGTTTGTGAGTGTGTCCCTTAGCGTGGATATTCCCCTCCCCATCCGCCCCTGCGCTCCCTCCTTGCACCGCCTGGCCCGCCTCCCGGTCATTCTCGTTTTCCTCCCCCGCTTCGATCGAGCTTTGCCAATTGTTCCAACCCCTCTTCGTGCTCCTCATGCACCTCCTCTTCCTCCAACCCCTCCTTGTCCTCGTCATGCAGCTCCTCCTCTTCCTCTTCTCCCACTCCCTCCAGCCTCTTCCTCTTCCTCCTCCCTCCTCCTCCTCTTCCTCCTCCTCTCTCCCCGTCCTCCCCCTCCCTCCTGCTCCTCATCCCTCCTCCTCCCACCGTCCTGGCAGACTCCATGCATTGACGTTCGTGCGAGGCCTCATTCCCAAGCTTGTCTTGGGGCGCCCTTGGGCGCCTCTTGGGGCTTTTGGAATAAGTTGGATACGTGGTACGAAAGGAATGGAGTAAGTTTTGGCTCCCGGGGCCCTTTTGGAAGGCCTCTTGGAGCCTTCTTGGGGCGTCTTGACGGCCTCGTGGCCCTTCTGGAGGCCATGTTGGGCCGTATCGGAGCGCTCCGGGGGCCCTCTCGGGGCGACCGGGAAGTCTCTTGGGCCATCTTGGGCGGACTGGGAGGCCCGGGGGCCGCCCGAGGAGCGTCCCAGGAAGCCCTCCTAGGCCCTCTTAGCGCTGTCCTCAGGCGTCCTGGGGAGTCCTTGGGCGCCTCCTGGGGCTGTCTGACAACTCGGACAGCCAAGGGATGAGATATCCTAAAAATGTACGTTTTACGAAGGGAATGGGGCCATTTTGGTTTCCTGGGGCGCTCTTGGGGGGCCTCTTGGAGGCCTCTTGGGGCGGTTTGATGGCCTCTTGTCCCTTCTGGAAGCGATCTTTGGCGGTATTGAAGCGATCCTGGGCTTCTCTCGGCGCTCTTGGAGCGTTCTTTGGCGGACTGGGAGGCCCGGGGGCCGCCCGAGGAGCGTCCCGGGAGGCCTTCCTGGGCTGTCTTCGGGCTATCCTAGGGCGCCTCGTGGGGCTTTCGGACCGCTCCGACAGCCAAGGGAGCTGATATCCTAAAAATGTACGTTTTACGAAGGGAATGGGGCCATTTTGGTCTCCCGGGGCGCTCTTGGGGGGCCTCTTGGAGGCCTCTTGGGGCGGTTTGATGGCCTCTTGGCCCTTCTGGAAGCGATCTTTTGCGGTCTTGAAGCGATCCTGGGGTTCTCTCGGCGCTCTTGGAGCCTTCTTGGGCGGACTGGGCAGCCCGGGGGCCGCCGGAGGAGCGTCCCGGGAGGCCCTCCTGGGCCGTCTTGGGGCTGTCCTCAGTCGTCCTGGAGCGTCCTTGGGCGCCTCGTGGGGCTTTCTGGCCGCTCCGACAGCTAAGGGAGCTGATATCGTAAAAATGTACGTTTTACGAAGGGAATGGGGCTATTTTGGTCTCCCGGGGCGCTCGTGGGGGGCCTCTTGAAGGCCTCTTGGGGCGGTTTGAGCGCCTCTTGACCCTTCTGGAAGCGATCTTTGGCGGTCTTGAAGCGATCCTGGGGTTCTCTCGGCGCTCCTGGAGCCCTCTTGGGCGGGCTGGAACGCGCGGGGGCCGCCGGAAGGGCGCCCCGGGAGAGGGCCGCACCCTATATACAAGGGAGGTTCCGGCCCGGGGCCCGGGGCCCGGGATCTCCCATATATGTATATATAAGTAATATATATATATATATATATATATATATATATATATATATATATATATATACACACACATATATGATTTAATATGTATATATATGTGTATTCCAAAGATCTCCAATGATAGTCAAGCCAGACGTTGTCAGATTTGGGCTGGAATTCTGGATTTGCCCTGGGCCGGAAAACGCGCCGCCTGGTCGACCAGCCCCCCCCGGGTAACCAATGCAAACTGCAGGGTGCGACGCGTATGCGTTGCTGTCGATTGCAAGAGGCGGGCCCGAACCTGGCGCGCTCAGATGCGAACGTAATCGCGCGATGCGGGTGCCGACGCGAGGTCGAGCTCATTCCAAAGGAAAAATCACCGACCCCCTTTGGGCCAGCACCACAGGTCACTCCGGCGAAGGGTCACTCTTACGTGTAGTCGAGGCGACGGCACTACAATAACGAACCACGCCGCCGACGCTGCCAGCAACGCAGACGGCGCAATAGGCAGGTCGCGGGACCCCCGGCCCTCAAGCAAACCCTTGATTATCCAGGACCAGAGCGACAACAAACACATGGAATGCTCGCACTCGGGGCCCCCCGCCCCTGATTCTACATTTCCCGGCGCTCAAGGCGCTCTGCCCGAAGCAGATGAATCTGAAAAGTCAACTGGCCACTCTGCGGCAGTCACTGCATCCCTAGACGGTATTAATGCATAACGGAAAGCGGCCACGCTACGCCACCCTCCACTGTGGAAGAGCGCCGGCACGCCCCCCGCCGCCAAGCATTCATCTGCCCAGCCTCTGCGGAACGCGTGCGCGCCTCACTCTGCTGCGCGCTCAAAACCAAGCGCCAACGCCGATGTCTTCTTCAGCGTGGCCGACGCTACCCTGTTGGACAAACCCGGGAATACCCGGCCTTGCCCGGCGCGGCGGTGGAGAATGCAAATTCCGCAAAGCTGCCAAGTCTGGAGCGAACAAACACAGCGCCTCGAAACAACCACAGTCTCCGCGTACACGTTGCTCCTGTGGAAATACAGGGAGACATTGGGGAGCCCCTTGTCGATGGACAGCACGACCTTCGAATGCACCCCGTCGCTCTCCGACGGCGCCGCCTCCGAAGCGAACCGCAGACAGAAGAGCGGGGCGACTACGAACGAGCCTGCCACGAGTGGATCCAAAAGTACGCCCCGCACGCGCACCGCCAGGCCGCGGGTCTCCCGCGCTGCGGCCCGCGCCCGGAAACGCCGAATGGCCGCCGCAGCCTCGACTGCACCCCGCGCCAAGCTGGGCGCGACTTCCAGGCGCCCCCGAAACATCCGAAGCAATCTGAGGGGCGCCCGAACCTGGGCGCAGTACCCCGTTCTGCACGGCGAACGCGAAGGCACCCAGAACGGGCTCGGTCGGCGGCCACGGCGCCGCGCCGAGGCACGGCAACCTGGCCCCACAACCGCACTGCAGATGCGCACTTTGCGATGCCAACCAGCGAGCTCGCGCCCCAGCAGCTCCTCCGCGGCGTCGAGATGAGACATGCTGCCCCGCATCCGCGAAGCACGCTCTCGCGGGTTGCCCGGGGCGCCCCCGCGACGCGCCGACCACGCAATTTGTCACTGTTCAGGAGTAACGCGCCCCAATGCCTGCATTGCGTCGGCCAACGCCTTCGTACCCAAAAATGCCCCTCGAAGGCGGGCTGCAAAAAGAAAGCCCAGGGCCGCCAGAGCCGCTCCGGCCATGGCCTGCCCCGCTGGCGACGCGCCCGCCTCCCGCACCGGTGTCTCGGCAGCGCCCTGGACGGCGGCCCTAGCAGCCAGCGACGCAGGGGCGCGCCACTGCGAGGACAGGGCAACCAAAAACTCACCAGACAGCTCCGCGAGGCACGGCCACACCACCCGCAGCTCGCGCTGACTCGCGTCAACGAACTCGCCGCCGTTGACCGCGCCTCCTGCGGCGAGAGCAAGAAGAATGCAGCCTGGCGGCCCCGGGTGGCTTCGCACAGGTGCGCGCCGGAGCACCGAGGCGAACCACTCTCCCAGGGCAGGTGGCGCAACCTCTCGGGCCGCGCACGGGCCCCCTCCGTCGCTGGGAGCAGCCAGGTCGCCAGCGGCATCGCCTTGCTCCCATCGCGCACGCTTGCGGCCGATGACCTCGAGTGCCATGTTGAGCCAACCTGACTACGGAGACGCGCAAAGAAAATGATTCGCTGCTTTTCCTGCACCCCCGCGGTCTCTCTCATTCGCGCCAAAAACCAACGGGCGGCCAGGCCCAGCGGGCCCAGGAAAACCCAGAAGAGAATAGTTGCTCCATCTCGCGGGTTTTGTTTTCCTCACGAGTGGGCCAGTCAGCAATTTTTTACATGCGACGGCACACGGACTGCACTAAGAAGTAGCCGCCGGTCGCGGCTGCAACCCGCATGCCTGCCACCGCGGCACTGTAGTCCAGCCGCCGGGAACATCCGCGCAGCAGCGCCCCGAGCGCCGCTGCCGAATATATAAGCACTACCACATCGAGGCCAGCGCGGCCGTCAAGCAATCCGAACTTGCGCCACAAAGCACACGCCGCAGCTGCCAACTCCCACGCGCGGATCTGCTGCCGCCGCGGGCATGCCCATTTCCTGACCCATCCGGGCACCGGCGCCGAGGCGAACGTCTTTCGACCACCAAGCACCGCCACCCAGGCCAAGGTGCCTGCACCAGTCGCGTCTGCGTACACGACGAGGCGCGGCTTGACGGATGGCGCGAGCGGCACGGCCCTGCACGGCTGCGAAAGGAGGAATCGCGGCCACCACCGAAGTGCCTCGAACAGGCGTTTTGGGATGCGATTACTTCGACCCGCCGAGTGCCGGAAAAGGGGCGCGAGATAGACCCACGCGCCCTTCCCGAAGACCACCGTGGCTCCCCAGCTGGGCCGGCCCGCTAGCTTCTGAGCGTGGGCCGGCGTCAACTGTTGGCCCTGATGCACCTGGGCGATTTCCTCTGACCACTTCATGCATTCGTCACTGGGCACAACGAAACTCAAACACTTTGCTGCTGCGTCGACAGACACGCGCACACCTAACGCAACAAAACTGGAAGCAGCCGCGGCTGCATTCTGCGCATCCAGACGCCATCCCAGCAAGTGCTGGATGACGAATCTAGCAGATCGCGCGGCGCCAACTCTGCTGTCAGCCCACGCGCGCGCCTGTTCTGCATCTGCGCCGAAAACAAAACCACCCCCGCAGCGAGGATACACAATGCTGAACAAGCCTAAGAAAATTGCTTGAAATGCCGCGCCCACGCGCTGCCACGCATGCACGCTCGTTTGCCCCCCGAAAGGACAGCAGAGCAGCTGCAAGAATCGCCCCCCCACGACCGACTCGGGAGTCGCAGCAGCTCCAAATGGGAGGTGGCTGTTCTGCAAAGGCAAATTTATCAATGCCTCGCAGACGTCATCCTTGCGGAAGCGGATGTCCTCTGCGCCGGCGCCACCAGCGCTGGGACACTGGGCGACTGCCGCCAAATCATCCAGCGTCACGCGCACAACGCGCTCTGAAAGTGCCGTCGCGCCATTGATTCCCGAAGCCGCGAGGTCGTCAATGGCGCGGACGCCACGGAGCCACCGACCATTTCGAAAACGCCAGCCTTCGCCTGCAGCAAAGCGGGGGGACGGCACCACGCCGGCAAGATCAACTGGCAAGTCGCGCCACTCGGCTTGACCTGCTGCCGCTTCTGGCGCCGCGCGTGCCTGGAGGGCGTTTGCAACTGCAAGATCCGTGGCGCGAGAGCCAGGAGTTCTGCGCAAGATGCCCGCGCTGGCACTGGAAGCCTCCGCCAACAGGTCGTCGGGCGACGCGTGGACAACTGCAGCGTCGACTGGCATGGCGCCGATGGCAGGGGTGAGATCCCACAAAGGAAGGCCCTGCGCCGGCGCCGCGGACGGGCCGGCGTCCTCCGAGCCACGCGCTTCCAACATCTCAGCAAACTACACCAAATTTTTGCTCTGGTCCCAGGGCGACGCGGACGCGCGAAGGCAAACGCGCGCATTGGTCGAGCCAAACGGGGGCCGTCACACGTCGGCAGTGCCGCCAATTTTCCACCCGGCGGCGTCGGAACTCGCAAACTGCACCAGGGTCGGCACAGCGCCAAGAAATTGGCGCCCTGGACGGCCTGGGGATCGGGAAACTCCCGGCGCAAAGCGGCAAGCGCAACGCCCAGTCTACATGAGAGAGGGGGCCAAGCCCGCCAATCTACGAGGATCGTTAAAAAGAGATTCCACAACGGCACGGAGAGCAGAGAATCCATCAGCGGCGGCGACTGCGCCCCTGAACTCTTCAGAGAGCCCTTCTTCCTCCGAGGGCACCTCCAAAGCGGAGCTGTCGACCTCAGCTCATTTTCTGTGCTGCCAATCCTGCCGCTGGCCGCCGCTGGCCCAAGATCCGCCAGTCTTGCGACGCTTTGGCGAAGCGGGCGCCATGGATCCTTTCGAAGCGGGCTTGCCGCCCGTAGGCTGCTCGCTCTTGCTGCTCCCCTTGGAGTTCGAAACAGCGCCCTTGCTGCTCTTGGACACATCCGAGGTACTCCCTGCCGTTCCACCAGAGTCTATAGAGAGGCTTGCCTTTGCCAGTGGCTCGGCCGATCACCTCGGCGCGCTGCGAAACTTTGAACTCGGCATCCTCCAAGACGTCGCGGTCCAGCTTGCACAGCAGGACCCCGATATGATCGCCCTGTCCCTGCTCCAGGGCGCGGGCGAGCTTCTGACGCAGCAAGAGGTCGCAATAAAAGGCAATTCTCGCACCGCCACGCTCCTCGCACAGGCGAACCAGCTGCATCTCATGCGCCCAGCACTGCACGGGCGAGATGACCTTCGACAACAATATCTTGATGCAGTCATGCAAATGGCCCCGGAAAACCGCGAACCCCGCGAAACCGACGCGCCCCTTCATTGCGCGCGCCCGCTTAGCCTCCAGGCGTCTTTGACCTTGTCCTCGATGGGGCCAGTGCCCACCAAAATGAGCGTCCTGGAATAACCTGGTCGGAAGCTGGCCAGCAAGTCCTCGCCTTCCGAAGAGCCGATCAACTTGCGGCTTTTATCCTTCGCGGTTCTGGGCGACGGCAGGCCCTCCATCCGAATCAAAGCTTCCTCTCTGGGGAACAGATCACTCTAAACGCACTGCAGGCCAACGTCGCTGACCCTGCCGTGCAAGTTGTAGCTGAAGCTCCCACGCTTGGCTTCCTTCTCGGTTTGGGCGTTTTGAACCTTGGCCCACTCTGCGACGGCTTGCGCGGTGTGGTCCGCCGCGCTTGTTGGGCCCACCTGGCCGGCTGAAGACTGCGCCTTCTTGTGAACCTTCAAGGCCAAGCTGATGTGAGCAGGCTTAAGCACGGAAGTCTTCCATTATTCGGCCTGGTCACTGGCAAATGGAGCAGCGTTAGCTTGCAAGCCGCTGATTATGAACACGCGCATCTGGTTATCGCTGTAATCGGATGGCTCTGATGAGCCCATCATCTCGGCCAACGCCCGAGCTGTGCCTGCGTAAAGCATCAGAGGATGCGCGTCCACCAGGAACTCGTGCACTGACGCCACGAACATCACCCAGGCTAGCACCTTGTCGACTGCGGCCCCGCCGACCGCACCTTCCTTTTCCACTGCGAGCAAACTGCGAACATCTGCGTTTTGAAACGACATGGTGCGTCGAGCGTGGCGACGGAAGGGTACGTGCTATCGCGCAGGGACGCAAAAGCAGGCAATGTTTGAGCCGCGGTGACTACGGACAGGAACGCACATGCGCCGAGCAGTGGCGTGGCCGGATAAGACTCTTTCCCTCCGCAAGGGTGCGCCGCCCAACCGAACAACACTGTTGCCCGCCGTAGCGTACGTAGTGGCCAGCGCTGAGGGCGATATGCGGTTTCGGGAAAGAAAGCAGAAGACCCTCCCGCCCCCGATCGCCCCCTGCGGCCTGAGTGCACCACCCCGGCCAGCAGAGGGCGTCATTGGGGCACGGATTTACAGACAGCTGGCACCGACGGCGGCCATGGCCACAGTGCGACCCGCGCCAGCGGCCAGCGCCCAGAGGCGGAGACCCCAAGCCCCTCTGCGAGGCCGCCGACCAGCAGAGGAGCCGCACAGCTCCTACTGGAGCGCAGGCCGAAACTTGTCACCCCGCCTCGGACCCGGGCGGCAAACGGGAGAGCGGAGCAGCCGAAAGGCAAACGAATCCCCGAATCTCCGAATGGAGACGGACGCTGCTTGTGAGCTTCCTCCCCAGAACCTAGGGTTAGGAATGATTAAGAAGCCCCCAGGAGTCCCCAAGAGGCCCCTCAGAGGCCCCAAGAGGCCCCCAACAGGCCCTCAGGAGGCCCCCAAGAGGCCCCCAAGCGACCCCAGGAGGCCCCCCAAGTGCCCCCCCGAGCACGCAAGCAAGTGCCAACGACCCGATGCGTTTAAGAGTCACCAAGAGGCCACCAAGAGGCCTCCCGAAAGAGTCCCCATAGGCAAAACGCTTCCAGACGGTCCGCGGCGCTTTCAAGACTCCCCCAGCGGCCACCAAGAAGCCTCACATGCCGAAGGCAAAGCCTGATAAGAACAGCCGCAGCCCCTGCAGCTCCGCACCGCAAAAGACCACTCGGTCAGTCGACAACGGCGTGCAAGATGGGCCGGCGGAATGAGCGAAGCGATTCAATAATATGGGTACGATGTTCTACTATTTCTCACGATTTCCCAACCATCCTGTGGTGTTGGGTCCTCGTTTCAAAAAAGACAGCGCCCCGCGTTCTCCTCCCGCCTCCTCCCTCCTCCCATCCCTGCCTCGGCACTCCGCATGTCCATCATTTCGGCACACCCCTCACACGTTTCGTGGCCCCATAGTGAACTCCACCGAAGGCTCCAGTAGGAGGGTTCGCATGGCACCACCGCACCCAAGTCGGCACGCCCCTCGCACGGTTCGTGGCCACGTAGGGAGTTCCACCGAAGGCTCCGGTAGAAGGGCTCGCATGGCACCACCGCACCCATTTTGGCATGCCCCTCACACGTTTCGTAGCCACCTAGGGACTTCCACCGAAGGCTCCGGTAGGAGGGCTCGCATGGCACCACCGCACCCATTTTGGCATGCCCCTCACACGTTTCGTGGCCCCACACGGAGCCCCAACGCAGGCTCCAGTGGGAGGGTTCGCATGACACCACCGCACCCAGTTTGGCATACCCCTCACACGGCTCGTGGCCTCGTAGTGAACTCCACCGAAGGCTCCAGTAGGAGGGTTGGCATGGCACCACCACACCCAAGTCGACACGCCCCTCGCACGGTTCGTGGCCCCATAGTGAGCTCCACCGAAGGCTCCAATGGGAGGGTTCGCATGGCACCACCGCGCCAAATTCGGCACACCCCTCACACGCGTCATGGCCCCATAGGGAGCTCCACCGAAGGATCCAGTGGGAGGGTTCGCATGGCACCACCGCGCCCAAGTCGGCGCACCCCTCACAGGGTTCGTGGCCCCGTAGGGAGCTCCACCGAAGGCTCCAGTGGGAGGGTTCCCATGGCACCACCGCGCCCAATTCGGCACACTCCCTCACACGGTTCGTGGCCCCATAGGGAGCTCCACCGAAGGCTCAAGTGGGAGGATTCGCATAGCACTACTGCGCCCAATTCGGCACACCCCTCACACGCTTCGTGACCCCATGGGGAGTTCCACCGAAGGCTCCAGTAGGAGGGCTCGCAGGACACCACCGCGCCCAATTCGGCACACCCCTCACACGGTTCGTGGCCCCACAGTGAACTCCACTGAAGGCTCCAGTGGGAGGGTTCGCATGGCACCACCGCGCCCAAGTCGGCGCACCCCTCACACAGGTCGTGGTCCCATAGGGAGCTCCACCGAAGGCTCCAGTGGAAGGGTTCGCATGGCACCACCGCGCCAAATTCGGCACACCCCTCACATGGTTCGTGGCCCCGTAGGGAGCTCCACCGGCGGCTCCAGTGGAAGGGTTCGCATGGCACCACCGCACCCAATTCGGCACAACCCTCACAGGGTTCGTGGTCCCATAATGAACACCGAAAGCTCCAGTAGGAGGGTTCGCATGGCGCCCCCGCGCCCAATTCGGCACACCTCTCACACGCTTCGTGGCCCGATAGGGAGTTCCACCGAAAGCTCCAGTAGGAAGGCTCGCATGACACCACCGCACCCAAGTCGGCACACCCTTCACACGCTTCGTGGCCCCATAGAGAGCTCCATCGCAAGCTCCAGTGGGAGGGCTCGCATTGCACCACCGCACGCAATTCGGCACACCCCTCACACGGTTCGTGGCCCCATATGGAGCTCCACCGAAAACGGTACCCAAAATGCGGTACTCGCAGCTGCAAATGGTTGGGTCTTTCGTAAGGCTAAGTTTGATAATTGTTTGGCAACTTCTTATTTTTCGTCCAGAATGCGCCTGTAGGAGGACACGCCCGACCGAACGTCGGGAGGAGGAGAAGTTTCATGCGGAGGCAAGGCCTGCGCTGCCGCCGCCTCATCCGCCGCCGGGGCGCGCGACGACCCAGCCAAGGAGGATCCGGCAGAAAGGAGTTCTGGTCGGAGCTCCCTGGGGGAGGAGGGTGGCGTGCTGGGCCCGCCGACCGCCCCGATCGCCCAGAGGAGTGCAGCATCGTCAGCGGGGATTCCGATGCTCCCGAGTTCAGGGGCCCGTCCCCTTCTTGGCATGTAGGAGATGTCGGGTATCATCGGGATCCAGGGCAGGAACTTCATAGTCTTGAGGCTCAAAATCATATGCCTGGCTGTGGGGGTCTCTATCACAAGAGTTTGGTTGGGACTCATGCACGGCTTATTCTTCTGAAGCTGGAGCGTAACGTGCTTCGAGTGCGATTGCTGTTTCAGTTGATGGAGACGGTGTGAAGCCCTGAGATTCCGAGGGTTTCCAGCGTAAGCTGCGCGACGTTTTGGCATGTTGCAGAGGTGTGTCGCAAAGCACTTTTATAAGGCAATGAATGCGCCTGGAGGCCAGGTACCGCTCAGCTTGGTAGAATGTGCCAGAATTTCAGCGCGGAGACGCGATGATCAGTGCATTCTCAGGGGATCTGGATTTTCACACTTTGGTCTCCCCTTTGGAGCCTGTGGCATCTATCCAATCAGACTCTCAGTGAAGTCCTCCGCTGAGGGCTTCAGCTTGTGGCATGGTGGTTTCCTGCGTGTATCAGATCGTGGAGGCCCTCTCCATGCTGCCTCAATTTGGTGTTCGGCCGTATTTTCCGTAAGGTTTCCTCCTCCTCCTCCTCCTCCTCCTCCTCCTCCTCCTCCTCTTTTCCCCTCCTGTTGCTCGCCGCCCTTGGGCAGGAAGGGCGCTCCTCTTCGAGCCAGCGGCGCGCCCTCCTGTCAGCAGGCTGGGGCGGCCGCCGTTGGCGCCACCGGCGCGCTTCTCGGCCTCGGCCGTGGAGCTGGCGGGCGCCCTGAACTTCCGCATTTCCTGCGGCCACATCGGGGAGAGGGCGCCATCGTCATCATCATCACCACCATCACCACCAGCGTCATCACCAAGACACTCGAAAGCAGCAGCCTCGTCACCACCACCACAACCACCACCACCGCCATCAGCATCATCAGCATCATCAGCATCATCATCGTCATCATCATCAGAATCATCAGCATCATCAGCATCATCAGCAGCATCAGCAGCATAATCATCATCATCATCATCATCATCATCATCATCATCATCATCATCATCATCATCATCATCATCATCATCATCATCATCATCATCATCATCATCATCATCATCATCATCATCATCATCATCATCATCATCATCATCATCATCATCATCATCATCATCATCATCATCATCATCATCATCATCATCATCATCATCATCATCATCATCATTCATCATCATCATCATCATCATCAGCATCATCATCATCATCATTAGCAGCATCATCAACAGCAGCATCAGCATTATAACAAGCGTCATCATCATCATCATCATCGTCATCATCATCAGACACAGCATCAGCAGCCGCATCATCAGCAGCAGCATGATCATCATCATCATCATCATCATCATCATCATCATCATCATCATCATCATCGTCGTCATCATCATCATAATCATCATCAGCGGCATCATCACCAATAATCATAATCATCATCACCATCATCATCACCAGCATCATCATTATCATCAGTAGCACCATCATCAGCATCGGCATGATCATCATCAGCACCAGCATTATCATCATCAGCATCATCATCCTCGTCATCGTCATCGTCATCGGCATCATTATGAAAAAAGCATGATCATCATCGTCATCATCATCAGCAGCAGCATCAGCAGCATCAGCATCATAATCATCAACATCATCATCATCATCATCAGCAGCAGCATCGACATCGTAATGGCCAGCACGGCAACCATCACCTCCATCATCATCATCATCATCGTCATCATCAGCAGCATCATCATCAGCAGCATCATCGTCATCATCACCAGCATCGCCATCATCACCAGCATCAGCATCATCATCAGCATCATCATCAGCATAATCGTCATCATAATGTTCATTCGCATCGTCATCATTATCGTCATCGTCATCATCATCACCAACATCGCCATCACCATCGTCACAAGCATCGTCATCAGCATCGTCATAATCGTCATGTGAAACATCATCAATCATTGTCATCATCAGCATCATCATCACATCGTCATCGTCACTGTCATCATCATCAACAACATTAGCATTATCATGATCATGATCATGACGATGATCACCATCATCATCAGCAGCATCATCGTCATCATCATCAGCAGCATCATCACTCCGTTACTGCTTGGCTCTGTGCATCATGGTCGCACGGGCGCTCGAGACTTCGATGTAGGCCCGGAGAGAGTCGAAACCCTTTCTGTCACCCAGGTCATGTGGATGAACAGCCTCTGGTAAATCAGCCGACCCTTCGTGAGCCTCTAGGCGTGTGAGATAAGTCCCCCTGAATCCCCCCAAGGCGGCCCAAACTTTGAATATGGTTCCCCCTCTCGGGCCGGGGAACACTTGCATGGGCGCTCCGTGCACATGGCCGAGGTAAGGGGCAAACCCACAGTGGGACAGGCCCGCACGTGCCGGTCGCCCATTCGCATGGACGCTCCACCCACACGGCCAGCCGAAGAGGCCAACCCCCAGGCTGCGCGCGCCCATTGGCATCGGCGCCCCGTGCCCACGGCCGTCGCACGGGGCCAACCTCCCCGGGACGACCTCGCCAGTGGTCCGCGCAGATTTGCATGGGAGCCCCGTGCACACGGCCTCCGAAGAGGGCCCACCAGGGGGCGGGGCGGGCGCACCGGCGGGTTCGCGCCCCTTTGCACGGGCACCCCGTACATTGGGCCGCCGGCAGGGGCCGAGCCCCTAAGGGAACTGGGCTCACCCGAAGCTGCAAGACGGCCCTTGAAATCTAGAAAGTGAAGACGGCCCGAAGATAGCCTCCTGGGACGCCCAAGAGGGCCCCAAGAGCCCAACAACTGCATAATCCTTCGGGTTGTCTCCAGGACGGCCCAAGAGAGCCCAAATATCGAGTACCAAGACAGCCCAAGAGAACGTCGGCACGGCCCAGGGTAGCTCCACGACGGTCAGAGATGGCTTTCCGGCGGCCCACGAGGCCCCCAAAACGGCCCAAGAGTGCTCCCTCCTCCTCCTCCTCCTCCTCCTCCTAATCCTCCTCCTCCTCCTCCTCCTCCTCCTCCTCCTCCTCCTCCCTCCACCGCCCGCCCAATGTCCCGAGCCTGTGGTAGGGTCACCAGCTCGTCGTTGTCGTTATCGTCGTGGTCGTCGTTGTCCTTCCTGGTCGGCGGCACTGGCTGCAAGGCCTTCACAATAATGTGTTGTATACAGGGTTCGTACGCGTAATCGCCTCGCGTGTGGACGGGGCTGGGCACGTCCAGAGTAATTCACACATGTCTTCTGAACGAGGGCGGAGCTTCCCAAGAGGGTGCGAATTATGGGGAGTCGTCGCAGACGCCTGCAGAACGTTTTCCCTTGCGTGCAGCCCTATTCCCTCAGCTGCCCCCATGAGGTAGGCCATCATCGATCCGTAGCTGCGTGGCTGTGCAAGGCGGTCGCACGGGCGCTCAAGACCTCGATGTAGGCAGAGAGAGTCGAAACCATGCGTGGCATTCAGGTCATCATGTGGATGAACAGCCACCAATGAAACTGGGACCCCTTCCCAGAAAAACAGGCGGGTAGCAGCCCGATCGTCACGCTTGTTTGCCTGTAGGGGGCCAAGGGGAGAGAAAAAAAATTGCTCGTCGCCTGCGGCCACCCACAAAGTGGGTGGTGGGTAGGCTTGGCGCCGGAGCACGGCCTCCGGCGCCCCCTACCCCGAGCAGGGCGCGCGGAGCACGGCCTCCTTGCGTGCCCTGTCTCGCGCGCCGTTTGCGGAGCACGTGCTCCTCCTGGTCCTGGCAACGGGGGCACGCGCCCCGCCGGGTGGCCCGCAGGACCTGCGACTGTGGGCTGTGCGTTGGCATGTATGTCTGTCTGTGCCACCGCTTTGGAGTGCCGTGCTCGACGGCCGCCTGACGCTGACTCCCAGAGTTCAGGCCTGGTGGAAGGTCCTCTTGCTGAGGTTCTGCAGAGGTTGATGTCAAAAACAGCCACCAATGAAATAATCATCTTCGCCACCATCACAGTCACCATCATCATTTCATGATGTTAATCATCATCGGCATCATCATCAGCAGCAGCAGCATCAGCATCATCATTAGCATCATCATGATCAGCAGCATCATCATCACCAGCATCAGCATCACCATCATCATCATCATCAGCATCATCAACATCATCAGCATCATCATTATCAGCATCATCATCGTCGCCGTCCCTGCCAGCATCATCAACAGCAACCGCTGCATCATTATCATCATCATCCTCATCATCATCAGACACAGCATCATCAGCATCACCATCATAGCAATAATCATTCGCGTCATCTGCATCAACATCAGCATCATCATCGTCATCATCATCATCATCACCGTCATCGTTACCATAAGCATCATCATCACAATCACCAACCTCCTTCTCTTCCTCATCAACGGCATCATCAGCAGCAGCAGCATCAGCATCATTAGCGGCATCATCAGCATCATCGTCGTCAATATCATCGTCATATCATCATCATCAGCAGCAGCAGCATCCTCATCATCATCATAGCCATCGTTAGCATCATTATCAGCATCATCATGGTCGTCGTCCCTGCCAGCATCATCACTAGCAGTCACTAGCAGCCGCTGCTAGTGACTAGCAGCCGCTGCATCATTATCATCATCATCCTCATCATCATAAGCATCATCAGCATCACCATCATACTAATAGTCAGTCTCGTCATCAGCATCAACATCAGCATCATCATCGTCATCATCATCACCGTCATCGTCATCATAAGCATCATCATCACAATCACCAACCTCCTTATCTTCCTCATCAACGGCATCATCAGCAGCAGCATCATCGTCGTCAATAGCATCGTCATCTGCATCATCATCATCATCATCAGCAGCAGCATCCTCATCATCATCATCAGCATCATCACCATCATCACCATCATCAGCATCATCAGCATCATCATGGCCATCGTCCCTGCCAGCATCATCACTAGCAGCCGCTGCATCATCATCATCATCATCCTCATCATCATCATCAGCATCGTCAGCATCCCCATCATACTAATAGTCATTCTCGTCATCAGCATCAACATCAGCATCAGCAACGCCATCATCATCACCGTCATCGTCATCATAGCATCATCATCATCACAATCACCAACCTCCTCATCTTCCTCATCAACGGCATCATCAGCAGCAGCAGCATCAGCATCATCAGCGGCATCATCAGCATCATCGTCGTCAATAGATCGTCATCGACATCGTTATCATCGGCATCCTCATCATCGTCATCATCACCATCATCAGCATCAGCATCCTAATCATCATCATCAGCAGCATGAACATCATCAGCATCATCGCCATCATCAGCATCATCATCATCAGCAACAGCAGCAGTACCATCGTCGTCGTCATCATCATCGTCATCAGAATCATCATTTGAATGATCAACATCATCACCACCATCATGATCATCGTCACCGTCACCGTCACCATCGCCATCCTCACCATCACAAGCAGCAACTACATCATCAACATCGATGTCAACATCCCTCGCTACATCATCAACTGTACCAGCACAGCAGCAGCGACAGCAGCAATGTCCTCCTCCTCAGCCAGCATCACCAGAGCAGCTTGGACTACTCCTCCTCTTCGGGTTCGGCCAACGCGCCTCGGGTTCCAAACTGATTCTAGGCCGCCAGGGTCTGGGGGGGGAGTTTCTGAAAGTGCAGAGCATGCGCAGACTCGGTACTCTCGAACTCTGGAGGTCTTGGAGCATCGCTGCAATCGGCGAGGCGCCTTGACCATGTACTCCTTCAGCCTGTGCTTGCTGATCTCCGCCTCCTCCCTGAAGGACAGCGTGACGACGCTCTTGGCCTTCATTGCAGGAGAAGGAGGCATTTTAGAGCTTGGCCGAGGGAGCCGAGGGGAGGCACGCATCCCTCCGACAGAGCAGCCCAGCGAGGCATGGGAGAGGGAGGAGAGGGAGGACGAGGAGGAGGAGGAGGAGGAGGAAGAGGAGGAGGAAGAGGAGGAAGAGGAGGAGAGGAGAGGGAGGAGGAAGAGGAGGAGGAGGAGGAGGAGGAGGAGGAGGGGGATTTCGTGGAGCAAGGCGCAGAGCGCACTCTTCGGTCTAGCCACGCGTGGCCAGACCTCCCTCGGCCGAGCTTCGCGACGGCCTTGGCGGCAGGCCCATGGAGAGTCTCGCCAATCACTGGCTTCCCTGCTCGGGCGGGGAAACAACCTCAGTTAGAAAACTTGTCTTCGGCTCTGAAGTGGAAGAGCCCGAGGCCTCCACAGACATCGCACGCCAGAAGCTTCTCCCCTTCCGCCCCACTCCCCCGCCCCACCGCATGGGCACACGCGCAGGGCACGCTGAAACCTTCCTGGAGGGGGGCGAAAAGCTCCATGGATGGCCGACGGGCCTGGGCGGCAAGGCTGCTTCAACCAGTTACCGTCACCATGCTACCGTCTGGAACGCCAGAGGGGAAACGGAGGGGCTACTTCTGGCCACAGCGAGCCAGGGCGACGACGAGGTTCCCCAGCCTGATGCCTACAAGACGCCTCGAGAACCAGAGGCCCTCCCGAGCCCGGAGCGGTCGCCGTTCTGGCGCCTCGGCTGTACAGTTGTGACCCGCTTCCCGTGAGCCACGGGCTCCTGCCTGCGCTCGAGGCACAGCCAACGCCTTCTGAATATCGTTCAACCGATCCCCATCCCCTGCGGCGTGGCCTGGGCTCCACTGGCCGATTCACCCACCTAGACGGGGATATAGGCCGTTCCCGCCCTCGGTGGGCCCTTCCGCGCCCACGGGCGGGCGGGGAGGGGACCGCCGCGGCCAAGACCCGCCGAGGGGCAGGGCCTCGGCCTCGGGAACCTGCGCGGGCCCGGCAAACCTCTCGGCCAAGCGGGCAGCGGCCGCGTGGCCCACCGCCACGTGCAGAAGCTCCCAGCTCCGAGGAGAAGGCGCGGGGCGGGAGAGGAGGGGGAGGAGAAGGAGGAGAAAGGGAAAGGGGAGGGGGGGGGAAGGAGCGAGGGAAAGAGCGGGCCAGGGGGCGGAGATTGGGAGAGGATGGGGGGGACGCGGCAGGTGTATGCGCCAACGTGAGTCCAGCATGATGTGGCGTGAGTAATGGTTCTCTGCCGTCTGGTGGGGGCGCCCCCTCCCATCTCTCTCCTGCTCACTCCTCCCTCTCTCCTCCCCCATCCTTCCTCATCCTCCCTGCCTCCATCCCTCCTCCCTCGCCACCTCCCTCCTCCTCCTCCCTCCCTCCCTCCCCTCCCCTCCCCTCCCCATCCCTCATGCCTCATGCCCCTCCCTCCTCCCTCCTGCCCCTCCTCCTCCCTCGATCCTTCAGGCCGCGAGCAGCCGCGACCGTCGCGCCCGGGCAGCGCAGCCCCGAGCGACACTTGCCGCGCGCCGCTCTCTCGCCCGGCACTGCCCCCATTGGCACTGCCCTGCCGTGGTGGCCCGCCGTCGCGTGCCGCGGCCCTCCCGGCCTGCAGCGCTCGGAGACAGGACTCGGATGGGATCGGCGAGGAGGAGGAGGAGGAGGAGGAGGAGGAGGAGGAGGAGGGGGAGGTGGTGGAGGAGGAGGGGGAGGAGGAGGAGGGGGAGGAGGAGGAGGAGGAGGAGGAGGAGGAGGAGGAGGAGGAGGAGGAGGAGCGAACGAGCGAACAAACGACACGCTTAATTGGCCCGGAGGCCGCCCCGAGACGTGTGGCGCGGTGGCGCCTCAGCGCCCTCAGTTCTGGTGCTCGACGGTTGGTTCCAGCCAGCGGTTGCACTGCCCACCATGCCGCTGGACACGGACAGCCTTCAGAACGGGATCCGTTGGAGATCTCCGAGATCCGGCGGTTCGGGAGGGTGTCTCCGGTGCCGCGGCCGCCCCAGAGCGCTCAGGGGCGCTCTGCGAGCGTCCCAGAACGCCCTGGAGGGAGCTGTCCTGGTCCCCGATGCTGCTCGCATGTCGTCTAGGTCCTAGGTCACCTGACCTCGCACGGCGCGCCACGCGATGCGCGACACGCGAGCACCGTCAACCCGTATCAGGAGGGTGCGCGGTAAGGATGCGAGGGCCTTGGAAGGCCATGTCGACCCTTTGCGGGCGGGGCGCGGCCGACGAAAGTGGCCAAGGATGGGCTCGCCGACAGCTGCGCCCTCCCCGGCCCAGGGCTGGCGGCAAGCGAAGGGGGGAAGTCCTGGACCCCCCCCTCCTTGGGGCATCCAGCGGCGCGCCCTCGTAGGTAGTAGAGCGACCTAAAGCCGAGGAGAGTGAGGAGGAGGAGGAGGAGGAAGAGGAAAAGGAGGAGGAGGAGGAGGAGGGAGGAGGAGGACGACGAGGACGAGGAGGAGGAGGAGGAAGAGGGTACCCTTGGGAAGGTTGCCCATCCCTACTATGCGGGTTGACTGTACCTCGCGCCGCTCCCTTGGAGAGGGGGGCAGCCGCTGCGAGACCCGGGGCCGCGCGGCGCGAAGCACGGTTGTGCCTTCACTCGTCCCCACGCGGGCGGCCCAGGTCGATGTCCCGTCGCGGCCTGCCATCTTCGCTTGTCCAGGGGAAGAAAGAAGGGCATACACATAAATAGAAGAAGAGAAAGCGCCAAGCACATAAACTGTTGGCGTCCAGCGCGGATCCAAAAAACTCCGCGCGGAGAGCCAAAAGTTTATGCTTACGGCGTTTCTGCTTCGAAGAAGAAGAAGAATACAGGCATGCACAGAAACTCCAGCGCAGACCCAGCGCAGACCACAAGAAGCCCGCGCGGGCCCTCGAACATCAAAATTTGTGCTTGCTTATGCCGATGCTTCTGATTCGATTGCCGTCTCTCCACCATGGTCTGCCACTGCCCCTGGGCGGGACGCCAAGGACACTCGGGGACCGTCGGGGCCTGGCGGCCGCGGCGTGCCAGGAGGTCGGGTCGGGTCCGGTCGCCTCTGTCCTGAAATCTAGCACCCCAGCCTGCCGGGTGGGGGGGAAAGACCTGCTGTGTGTGTGTGTGTGCGTGCGTGCGTGCGTGCGTGCGTGCGTGAGTGTGTGTGTGCGTGTGTGCGTGTGTGCGTGTGTGTACGTGTGTACGTGTGTACGTGTGTATATGTGTATGTGTATGTGTGTATGTGTGTATGTGTGTATGTGTGTATGTGTATGTGTGTATGTGTGTATGTGTGCATGTGTGTATGTGTATGTGTATGTGTGTGTGCGAGTGTGTGCGCGTGTGTTTGTCTTTGTGTGTGCGTTTGTGCGTGTGCGTGTGTGCGTGCGTGCGTGCGTGCGTGCGTGTATGCGTGCGTGCGTGTGTGCGTGCGTGCGTGCGTGC